AAGCATTCCTAGTTGCGTTTCCTCAAGACCAATTTCTTTAAACCAGAGATGTAAACTTTGCAGATTGGCTAGGAATGAGAACAAATCTGTAGCAAATCAGAGGGGATTCTGTTTCCTTTTCAGGAGTTGAACATCGACGTATCAGAAGTAGAAAGCCTGCTGGTGCAATGCATATTAGACAAGTAAGTCATTCTCAGACATTCTGTCCCTTTATGCACATTCAGTTGCAAGTTTTGGCCCCGCTGCCAATGATGCGTGCAATCATTTTGACATGTAGGCTTGCAAACCAGTGTGTGCCCTCAATAAGTTATTAGACCAACATTAGGAGTGAGTAGGCCATGGTGACCTGCATGATGCTCACATGGAGAATGCAACATTATATCATTTGGTCCTCCAAATTTCTCAATGGCCGAGTCTCCTCTAGAATGAAAATGCCAGGCCCTCTAAGTTAATATATTTCTATTGAAGAGTTTGATGAAGGCCCCATGAAGAACTGGACTCCGTCTTCTTTGCCTTAGAGAAAAATCTAGAAACTGAGACATTAGGGATCCAACTACTCAGGTTTGTATAGTTCACGTCGATGCAGGTACAATGAGTGGACTTTACACTCCAGGACATGAGGACAATTTGTTTTTGTTTGGCTTTAGTGGTCAATTGTTTTATCCTTTAAACCATGTAGTACAATACGCGGGCGGATAGACCAGGTCAACCAGTTGCTGGAGTTGGATCGACACTCTCAGGACACGGCTCGCTACCATGCCCTCGACAGGTGGACGGTCCAATTAGCATCACTACAGAAAGCCGTAGGCAACAAGATGGCGTGATAATTAACCCCTATCCTCCCCTCCTCCAAACATCGACCACCAACACTCCTACTAACAGAAATGTGTATAAAAAAAGATAAGAAGAAATTCATCTTCATTATGTGTTTGTTTCTTTTTTGTATTGAAATTTGAACTTTGTTTAACTTTTGCAGGGACATTGTGAATTGGATGTGTATTCATTGTGGCTGATGTCCAATTTCAGTCGGGTTTTCACGGGGACTAACTTTTTTTATAGGGCAATTCTCTCCCAACTAAATGATTTCCCGATGTCACCGAATATTACACATCTGTTCCACAAGCTTAGAGGAGTGTTTTTTTCAGGGCCAGTGTAAGATTTAGTAGTTCAAGAAAAAAGTTAGTGCCCAGTGTGTGTTTTATATAGACATTGCACTGGGTACCAGTCACATTTACATTGGATAGTAGTAGGTCTTTCAGTCGGTAACCAGTGGTACATGCTCGGCTTTATGCATACATACAGACATGGGCGATAAGCGATTCGGCTGCGTTCGACCTTTCTGCTTCTGACACAAAAGCGACCAGGAATACTATCACGAGACAAAGAAATTGTGGATTGTGAAGATTCTAGATGATTGCAACAAGTGTGGGCTACGTTCAAGGCAAACTGTAACATTTTGGATTTCTTTTACTGCAAACTGAAGGAGCAGTCGTGCAAAAATCCTGCTGCTTTTTGTTGGAGTTTCATAAATCGGTAAACCCCTTATGGAAGTGACTGTCAGAGGTGCTTTTTGGAAGATAAAAGACAGTGATTTTGGTTTTTAAATTTTCATTGCATTTTTTTTACAGCCATTTGGAGACTGAATGAAGGGGACAAAAATTGAATTGAGCTTGAATTGTAGCATCTCCTCTTTTTTTAGTCATAAAATGGGAAAATACTTTCAAGCATAAACCAAAAATGGACATTAACAAATGTGTATTAGCCATGTGTAAATTTTTGGAGGAAAAAGTCATTTGTGTTGAGATTTATGTGGTTTACAAGGCTTTGATGATAAGTTTACCCTTTCAGACGTTTTCCCAAACGGAAGCACCCTCAGAATGGACGTTTTTGACAGTTTTGTTCTAAAAACTCATTTGGCTAACGGCTGAACTTGTAAACCACTGTTGTAACACACCACACTTCAACACTAACTCTCAAGGAGTGCAGTTGAAATGACGAAGAATCCTGATGAATTTGGTTCCTCCTTGATTTGTTTAATGGTGTCATTCAGCAACTGATGTTATTATATTGTCTCTTGACATGATCTCAGTCATCCACTTAGCAAAGTGATGAGGACAAATGACCCAGCCTGACCCAGGCAACCATGTTGTGCATGTGTACTCCGAGTTTCTTTTTCTTGGCTCATGTTCCTTGTGAGAGCACCATCGTCAAAGTGGACCATCGAAACATCATCTTAGCCACAAATGGTATTTCTAGATGTCCAGTACATGTTCATATTAGCCGCATATCGGCAACATTTGCCCACATTTTGCTGCATTTGGCCAAAGGTAACGAGACTGTGACATAGTGGTCTTAAATGCTCACACTATTTATAAGATTGTTCCCAGTAGGTAAATGCCTGTGCTGTATGTAACGTTCAAGGACAGCGCCCTCTTGTGGCTTCATTTTTGTATGTGTATTAATAAGGAACTTGATATGGTGTCATTACACATTATGGTTGAGTTCAGGCAGCCTATTCTTGACACGGGCCTCGTGTTCTTGCACTCGAACAGCAGGAACACAACTGAAGGACACTGTTCTCGGAACAGGATTACACACCACCTCCCTGTCAGGGTTTTACAGGAGCACACGGAAAAAACTTGTGAGATTTTGATTTTTGAACAGCTGCAAATAGTACGATGGTTTACAAAATTAACATTAATAATTTTCCATGACATAGAATTAAGCCCAGTTTTAAACATTAACCCTCGAAGAACATACTTGCTAACATACCAGTGATAACTGGTTATACATTCCTGGCATTCGAGGGTTGACACACAACAAATCGAGCTGTTCGTAAGTGACACGAGAACAAGCTGCCCAAACTCAGCCTATATGTAGGTGAATCTAAAGGCCATGCCTCCCCCATGAATGAAACATTTTTATAATTTTGAAATACAATGGGAGAAAGTTGATTCTAGGGGGACTTCAGTTTCCGTAAAGCACATCAAAGCCCCGAAATTTAGCTTGACCCTTCAGAAAGGCCAAAAGAGGTTTCACAAAGAAAATTCCAAAGTTTTTTGGTCCTTGACAGTATATTCATAGGAACGACTGGAGAAACTCAAGTGTAGCAGGATAGGCCTGTTGGATAGGAAAACATCCTGGAATACGGCAAATTGATTGCTTGAAAGGATGATCCATCTAGTACAGCCGGCCAATTTTGCAGCACTGAGCATGGATTTCTTGTCACTCGCGCAATATTCAAGTGAGCACCATAAGGCGTGCATGTTTTCAGGCCCTGATGTAATAAGTGCACAAAGTGACCTCTGCAACTTAAACGCATTTTATACTTCCTTTCATCCAATGAAATGGTGTGTTCATTTTTCATACGCGGAACCAATTATTTGCTAATGCTTTGGGCAGAAACATTTTGTTTGCATCACATTTTTGCCAGAAGCATTTGCCTTACTTTCATCCAGTGTACATATTTGTGTACATTTAGTATTTTTTTCCTTTAAGGAAATAACGTATACGGTGACTCATGAAATGCCTTTCCCAAACGTTTACCTTTCTCCGCTGCTGGCTTCCTTTGTGGCTCCAACATGCCTAAAATCAAAATCTGATTTTATAATGGTGTGTCACAAAGGTATTACTTTTAGAGAGATAAACCATTCAATTCAAAGTGAAAAGGGAACAAAATGGGTTTAACAGTTATGACCTTGGCATCCTTTTGTGAAATTTTACCTTTTAAGGCATGGACTTATCACTAATGAATTCTGTGTGGTGTAGACTTCAGAGTTTCGCAACACAGCAAATTTTTTCTTCAGGTAGTCACTTGGCTAATATGCTTTATTCTTAAAGAAAAAATTTTGCCAAATTTGATTTCTGCCTCAGGGCACCTATTACAAATTTCAAAGTACCATTCTGGAAGCTGTGTATGCTTTAAGAAAAATTTTAACTAGCTGTTGCAAAAAATTGTAAGTGTTCACATGCATAACACATTGCCAAAAAACGAATCCCGATGAACCAGCTGAAGGGCCAATTCATACTTGGTACAAAAGCGAAAACAAATGCAATTTTGTGGCATCATATTAAATGTTGGCACTTACCTACATGTATTTCAACTGCAAAGGATATTTCACTGCAAATGTTTTTGTCAACAAATTTGCTTCACCTTTGCCCCAAGTATGAAGTGGCCTAAAGTGGAACCCAATTCAAAGTGCAAGTCTTAAAAAGGGGCATTTTTCACCAGTACATGTGTGTGGGCAGACAAACTACCCAGAGAAGTTTCCTCACGGGGAAACTGACACAGAATAGAAGTACAAGTACTTTTATTTCAAAGATGGATTTGGGCCGGGGAGATGTAAATCTATTTTGGATTTGCCCTGCCCGACGTGTGTTTAACACTGTATACTCAGTGTGCCCACAAAAGTTTGTGAAAAACCCACAAGCATACTCAGGTGGGACTCGAACCCACGACCCCCTGCTTACTAGTGCAGACGTCTTAACCACTCGACCACCGAGCTTGCCGGTGTCGGCTGGTTCGAATCAAATGTTAAATGTTAAATTAAAGTACATGTACCCTTCACTCCCTGTTCAGTGTGCAGGCAGCACTCAGGACAAACAGGGTGCTCTGATAAAGTATCAATTTCTGTGTGTGAACATGTGTTATTTTCCTCACATACACAGCCATCTAAAAGTTGCTTGTTTGCCGTAGAGAAGATATACATTTTGTTTATGCCCCCCACAAAACAGAATGAAGAGAGCATCCAGGAATAAAACACAAGTCGGTTAATGTTTACTTAAAGAGGCTCTTGTTTTCTCTTGGTACATGAAGAGAGTAATATCCATTAGATGATCTCCAACGCTTTGGATGTCAACATCCGTTTAGGTATGCAATGTGTAGGTGTATGTGTCCCCAGCTCTTCTCATTTTTGTCACTTGTCCCTTTACATTCTTTGGTTCTAATCTTCAAATGACCCTATCTGTTGGACTGTCGAGTCCAAAATCTGTACCAGCCACTCACATTTCCGTGCACAACATGTATGTACAATGTCTGTAAGTAGCTGCTGGTTTTAGAATAGCTGAACAAAATACATGCACCCTCACCCCAAAAAAATCTCTTGAAACATTCTTTCACGAGATCAAGCAATGCAGTAACTTCATCTCAAATGAACCGAAGTGATTTTCAAAACATCACAGGTTACATGTTTATTTAGTACTCTTATTCCTTAGCCTCCATTGTTTACATTCATTTACATTTGTAATTACTCTAGCAACTTTGTATCGCAGACTGTGACACATAGCAAGCAAATGTCACGTTTTTGAAGAACTTAACTCCTACTGACAACTGATGGAAAACATGCATTTCTTACACCAACAAACTTGGCTTGATCTCTATCAAACATCTGCCCTCATTTCTTCAATCTTGCGACGGGTGTAACGAATGAAATTCACTCCACAGATTATAAATTGCACAATTAGCAAGCAATGAGGGCGTAACGCAGCACCATCTTGTTAATTATCGCTCGGGATTTTTCAAGAAGCCCCCTCTGTTGAGGTATGACTAACCACAGGACTGATCACTGTAGAGAATTTGCAGTTATTTGACAGTCTCAGTGGACAACATTCAGTTGACTTCAAATTCACAAAAGACATAATGATGAAGCATAAAACTGCCACATCAGCCTGAAAATGCTGTTGGCTGTATGGTTGGTTTATAGGAACACGTATAAAAAAGAATTCATTTCTTGACAAGATTTTTTGTCAAGAACCCTTTCTTTATCCCCGAATCCTAACTGCAGTGCCAAATCCAGGGTCTTTACATTATGCAGTAGTAAAAAACCAGTGCATTTCCTTTTATCTGATGGAAACAGTCCAATCATGTGTCTTCCATGGATCTAGAAAACAGAAGAGTAAATAATGTTTGAAGGAACTAGATATCAACTTTCAAGCATTTGAACTGTTTGAAATGTGCTAATACATTTACCCGAAACCAGAAGAACTCTTTTGGCAGTTGCTCATTTCTTGTTACAAAAATTAAAATGAAAGACAGAACTTCTACAGCCCAGGAAATATTCTCTGAAAAGCATAATTGCAATTACTAGTACTTAAAAATTGTCTACATAGCCACTATTTACATAGTTTACATAATAATCAGGAATGAACTGGTGTGTCCTTGTTAATTTCTTTGACCTCTACTTTGAAAATAATAAAAAGATTCTCAGTTAAACACAAAGAGTTTGTGACAGGTTTCTGGAGTCACGAATTAACAAGCCTGTTTGTTCCTGATGATCTGCTAAGGTGGTTGATAAATTTACTTACTGTTTACAATACAAAAATTTACAATGAGCATTTCAAAATAACTTGGAATTACGTTACAACAAAATCGTACGTTAAATTACATAAGAATTGCACAGTGATTCATGAAAGCGGGAGATACTTCTTGGGATGTCTCTAAACACTACCTCACATTACTTTAATGGTGAGATGTTCTCTTAGAGCAGAATAAAACACACATGAAAAGATTTATTGCTTATCAGCCAAGGCTTTGACGTGAATTACAAAGGCTTACCTTGAGCCAGTAATCAATTTCAATCTTACACCTTCTAATCAGAGTTAAAGAATGAGTTAAGATCGTAGTTGAGACCTATGGGAGTTTTTTGATGCCGCTAAGCATCAGTGATCAGCAAAATTGTTCATAAATAGCAGGTTAAACTTATTTTTTTTCAGCAACAGCAACCAATTAAATATGTACACAAAAAGAAATACAATTATTTACTGCAAGAATCCGGAGGATTTAAAGAGACAACGGGTAAGATTTGAAGCTTTGGTGATAGCTTAACTATTTTGAGGCTTGCAAATGCGCAATGTTAGGAACTTTCTCTTTTGGAAGAAGTGTGATTCTGAAGAGGAACTAATGAGTAGGAACTGAATGTCTCAACCAGGATGCTCTGGTCGGCCTAGGACCACGCTTTGTCCTAAAGAGATCGTTCCTTACATGGTGCATCTGCAAGCCACACGAAGAGATGATATCACTGCAGCTGAAGCGTACGCTGGACTAAACAAAAATTTGTATCACAATACGTGACTGTGAATAACACTTCAACAAAGGTCAGAAAATCCCAGTGAATGAGGTCTGAATCAGTGGGTAACACTTCATTTTTACATGCACTTCCAAAACGACTGTGCAGCAGTTTAACTAACAGTAGCTGTAAGAAACTAGAAAGAATATACCCAAAGCGTACCGGCAGTATACCGACTATTTATGAATGACGGTGTGACCGCAGTGAAGTGATACATACGGTGTCATGAAAAAGGTGATGCATCTACATGTACACGTTATTTCAACACATCCCCCAGGTGCACTGACTGTAAATGCTGTCTGCTGCCCTCGCCTGAGTATCTCAAAGATTTGCTGAGTAGTGGTCCAACAGTATTTCTAATAATAAAGAGTAACGCCCCACAATATTGACAGCTGTACAGCGTAACTGTGCGTTCTAGTCGCGTGTTATTAAACTGGGAGACCCTGAGCCACTCAAAGAATACATGTAACAATTTCACTTAAAAACTTGCCTTGCTTCAATAGGTCTTGTGATTTCTATATCGTACATAAAAATCCAAATAAATGTATCACACTTAGGCAAGCGCAAGGCAGGTGGTTGCTGCTGTAGAAAAAAAAAATCCCATTCCCGGTCCCTCCCCCCCCAATTATTAAGTAAACATTTTATTGGCAGAAATAACATTCATTTAGGTCATCCCTTACAGTCTCTGGCCATTTTTATCCCATTTAAATTCCCTAATGATATTACATGAAGTTGTTCAGCAGTCAAAACAAATTTGTACAAATAATAGGTCAAAATAAAATCTCTACTTATGTGAGCGTTGACGAGGCCAGTATTATTCAAAATAAATGTAACTGTTGAGAATTAATGAACAATTTCAACTTGTCAATGTCAACAATGCCAATTTGTCAGAATGTCAGAATGTGGAATGCTTTTTTATCAATGACAGTTAAGAAGATGTCAGCTGTGGGACTTTGAAAGCCTCAGACTTAAAACAGATCCATTTTTTGTGCCTTAAGCAACTGCAGGTGAATTTTTCATTACGGTTCCATTACCTCTACAATAAAAGCTAAGATATTGTGCATGCACCAATTACCAACTGCAACATTAGTGTTTATTTACAATACTTATTGCCAACATCTGTTATCATACAGGCATATTTTATGTGTTAGAATGGTTTAGATTCAGTCATTGGAGTTGACACGTTATATTAAAGGGTGAGATGGAATAATTGAACTTCTATGGGTTTGCCCTACAACCATACAAGTACATGTAGATCTTTTGAATTTCAGGAAGAAGTCGCACCTTAGAAATTCATTCGAAGATTATCTATTGAATCTGATCCTTGCAGACTGTACATACGAAAGGGAACCCAAGTAATGGCTACACTCCAAACTACCTGGGGTATAGGATTCCATTTTGCCATGGTGCTGCAGTTGGGCTGGCCTAAACTAGAGTGGGCCAGTCCTGGCATTGACAGAATTTATCCAAATATGACAATACACCGTTTCATTCATGACAATAACTGGATTTCACTGGCATGTCCGGTATATGGTGCAATGAATGAATGTCATGCTATGACACTATGCCGCCCCAACCAAAGTGTTATACTGTAGACCTCTCTCAAAGGATGTCACTTCCTACAAACTGCCACGTGCATCGCCATTTTCATCTTTAAATATTTGTGACGCACATTGGCTGTGCCGCATCCGAAGATACTGGTATGTAGATCATTGCGCACGAGTATAGAACATTCGCGCATTATGCGCGCGCACACATGTTGACGTCTTTGTAGTATGTACATGTAGTTGTAATTTTCCTTACAAATGGCATCCAATGAGAGAGATCTAGTTGGGACCACTGCTACAGTTTTGGCACAACACGGACAGAGGCAGAGTGCTAGCTCATTTGCACAAGTTAAATGTCTTGTGGCTGGTACTCTGAACAACAGCTGCCACAAAGCTTTTGCCAGTACTCGATATCCCCGTGAATGATAATGGCCAACTTGTGCTCACTGTCAGATTGGTTTCCATAAATTCAGATGATCTTTCAGCATGCTTCAGGTTGCGTTTCATTCATGAAATTTTGCCACCAGACACGCTAAGGTTGCAAATGCTGGCCCTATTTCCATAGCGGGAACGCAGCCCTGTTCCACCATTCTCTCTCCAGGGGTTAAAACAAGCTGGAATTTATGATGTGCTACATGTACTCATATTGGGCACAAGCGCGCCATCAAGGAGTACCCAAGGATAAATCACAATGTACATGATAATTCAGTTCACAGCTCTGGGGGAGATGCTATCTTGCATGTCCATGAAACATCTCCACAAGGAATTACAACTTCTGAGATTGTCATTGTCTACAAGTTGCATGAATAAAAACAAAATCTGATCTTGCATTTGGAAATAAATGAATGTTTGCACTGGTAATGCACAAATGATGCAAAACCCAAAACAGAAAAAAAAAATCAACTAGGAATGTTCTTAACACGTTTACAATACAAGTTACCAGTTTAAATTGTTTTCCCAGTATCATTACACTGCTTAAACTTAAAGGAAAACAGTCTGAACTCTTACTGCCTTTATCTTATTCTTGGCCACTGTTCTGCTAAATCGTGCAGCATGGTTCATGTCCCGTCTAAAACACCCCCCATTCTAACAAAATTGAACCAAATCTGATCCCCATAAAACAATAAGAATCCAGCATCATTAGGGAATCAGTCCTTCACATGCAATGACATATACCTTCAATCTAACAGCTGTCCATATTTGACTCTGATGTTAATCTTCCGTGGTCTTTCACGGTTGTCTAGAATAAGCACATTTCGATCAAATTCAGGGGGGGGGGAGATCACACTACAAGATCAAGTTAGCCTGAGCAGGGCCTGGATCCTGCAGAATAAATGGGCCAATATTTGCAGGCAGAACTGGGGGGGGGCCATGCTCCAGACAGGAGGACACAGAATAAGTACTCTCATTATATCAAATAATAACGGTACATGGCTTTCTTTTTCTCCAAATCATTTGGGGTGGGGGGTGGGGGAGTAAAAAGGGACACCAAGGATAAGGTCTTAATGGAGAGCATACCCATTCATACCCCCTTCAGTGAGTTATTCCTGTAAATGTATATTTTTCACCAGCCTAATGCTGAAAAATGAAATCTACCACCCACGGCCAACTGTGCACGATAAGAAACAAGAGGGAAAAATTCCCAATGAATATTGAAGTAAATGTGCCTCATTGTCAAAATCAAGCACGAATTACCTGGTCAATTTAAGTGCTGTACTACGCTCATGCAGGACAAATATGTACTTTTCGTGGGGGTATAAATTTTAAAGTAAGGGTAGAGTGACAGACAAAGAAGCACATACGTTGTAAATTTATGAAGGAACACTTGCCGTGCGTGGCAAATTCAGTGACTTGAGCAGAACACCATTTCAAATTAGGTTTACAGTGTACATGTATATATTTATGGAGAAAAGGACAAATAAGTTTTGATATACCCAACTTTTGTAATGACAGAAGGAAGGTGGTTATTGGCCAAGCAAGGGCAGATTGCTCGTATGAGCACACTGCTTGACTGAAACAAATAGTGAAGAGTGCGGAGTACCGACTGTATGAGCACACACCTATGGCCCCTTTGTGTGACAAGGAATGTACAAACGTAGCATTTTCTCATTTCAGTGAATACATGGGTAGGCATTCACCGCATTCAGGGGACAAGTTCTTTTGTTAGGGAAATTTGAACCTGAGTTGTGGGGACATTCCTGAGTCCCCACAATGTTTTCGGTCCCACAAAATAGGTGAAATATCAAGTGTATGTCCCCACCACTACAGTGCGGGAGTGAATGTGTGTTAAAAAAAAATTGACTGTTCAATCCAACTCCCAATCATTTGTATAAATATTTCACTAGGCTGTGTTCTCACATCCTCTGTTAAACTATCACTAAACCCATTGCAGGTTCAGCATCAACTAATTCAAGTAAATGGAAATTTCTTTAGCAGTACTGTAAGCATTATTGATTTACTTACCGCAGGCCTCTGACACAAAAGATGGAGATCTAAATTTCATTAAACCACGGGCAAATTATTGTGGAGTATAACTGCAATGCCAACAAACTTTTCAAAGACTCTTTTGAGAGCGTTATTACAGAAAGAGAAAAGGAAGAGAGAAAAAACTCTAAAAGGTTTTAGAAACTGAAGTACCCTAATTTCTCTACCGATTTCACTCAACTAAACCTTTTTGAGAGAGGAACGTTTTGGATCTGTTCAAGTTAAACACCGCAGTAAGATGTTTCTAGTAGCCTAAAGACTTCAAGTCAGATCAATAAGAGGTGGGTTCCATTGCGGAATGAAGAATGAAGATTGACCACTATGGTTTCGGGGAATTGAGAAAACCCAGGATTGGCATGTTCATGCATATTCTTCTAGGGAGGGACCTCGGCGAGATCAAAGGATTGACAAGTGATGGAAACACGGCGCACTTTTCACAGGCGAATATTTGGTTGGCAAAAAGGGAAATTTATACTTCAACATGTATCTTGAGACAAGAGAACTCGGCAGTCGGAACTCAATAAATACAAGCTTCTCTACGACGTACTGTTCACAGTTACAGTTACCATCTTATAAAATTTCTTCAATATACACAAATGATCCAGTCATCTGAACGATTTAACCTGGGAAGTTCCCCACTGTCACTGGATGGAGCAGGTGACCTGGGTGGTTTGGCAGCAGATGCAGCGTTCGTTCATCGGTCGTGGCGGGATCAGATCCAGCTCCTCATCGTCGGGGATTTCGTCCAGTCGGAACCCGTCTTTCAAAAGCTGCTGTCGGAGATTCTCAGTCGTCTGTTGTTGCAAAAAGAGAAGAGAATGGCACTTCCTTTGGATGTCAGATGAGAAAAAAAGGCTTTGAATTTTCTGGGTGCAGTGCCTGTGTAAATCTCACCAGAAGTCATGAAGTACATTTCATAGCTGATGAACGTTTTGCTCTTCGTTGGAAAACTGGAACAGCAAAGCTGCCATGGCTTGCTGCTTGTTATGAATTTGAATTTCTTTCCTGTAACAACAGCTTATGTTATTGAGACATCAAAGTTATACAAATATGGTTACTAAATTACAGGTGCATACTAACAAAGCTTCATCCAAATTTTTTACAAGATTGGTTGACATACGACTGCAATACAGATGTACAAGATATTTTATCCACCTTAGCAATAAAATTCATTATACTCTAAGAGAAAAAACCTAGTTAGTGCTGTGTGCAGAATGTGTGTTGAAAGGCGCCTGTCATTTAAAAGTAAATCAACAAAGACCACCAACGAGGGAGATAGGGGTACAAAGGCTTCACAGTTCTTTACAG